ACAGGCTAGTATTTAGTATCAGCAGGCAAGTTGACTTACTCCTTTATTCCTGATCTGGAATCCCTAAAGAACCTCTCAATTCATGAATGTGCTGCAAAACCATTTTTTAAATATTTTATGTAGCTAATGTCATTCTTACGATTATCAGAATCATCACATTGAAAAGATCATGCAGAAATGAACACATTTAACTGGAGCAAGACTTCAGTGTTGTGCAGTAAATAAATGCAGAGGGAGAGGGTCTGTCAGATGGGAGAAGCCACAACAGTGTCTCCTTTGGCCAGCTCTGTGCAGCCTGGGACCATTTGGAACTGGAAACAGCACTGTGTTATCTTCTGTTTGAAGGCAGATCCATAAAGCAAGTATGGATTGAACTAAGGTTGTACAGACCATAAAATCTTGTCAAAGTAGAAGTCTCAACAATAAAATATCCAGATCACTCAGTGTTCATGAGTGCATAACAAATTTCAGGTGCAATAAACTGCTGCAGAATCAAGCATCCCAAAGGTTAGCAAGATAACCAGTATGGCAGCATCCAAGGATTAAAATGATTAATTCAGTGAGTAAATGTTGGCTTTTGTGAAAACAATTAACTGAATTTATCCAGTGCCTTATGAAGGATAAATAAACCTTTTTCCTAGAACAGGGGAACAGTATATGGAAAAATTTTTAAATGTTATCATCTAAGTGCTTTGAAATATATTAATGGTCACCATGCATTTCAAGCATGGGTTTGTTTTCCCATCTCTTTTCCTCAGTGCTTAAAGGTGGAAAGAAGGGCACTGTGGTAAATCTGCCCTTTTCTTCTGATCATTTTTCCTTCTGAAAACCTGTGGCAGCATTGGTACATGCTTTTTGCTGAGACATTCCTTCGTATTTCATATCCTGTTGAATGAGCTGCAAAATTAGATGCTAAAGATACTATTTTAAAGTTAATAGGATAGTGAAAATCAACTCTGTAGTTGTTGACAAAAGCTTAACAAACCAGGTAACCTGTTCCAGGCCTCAGATTGCTGTTTTTTTAAAAAATAAACAATTCAACCTTACGGATGCACTGCACAGTTTGTTAGTTATTAATAAACCAAGGTTTTTGGCTTTAAGATACTGTGTTTTGGATATATATATGCATTAAATACTAAGTCAAGAGAAGCAAATTTGTGCGTTACTTCAAGATACTTTCTTACGTTTCAAAAAGAGAGCAACTTCAACTATTTATAAACTGTAATTAAGTTTCTTTACAACATGACTCATTCTCAACAAGCAAGTCCTTTTTCTTTTGCTTTCTTATGAACTGTGTGGGAAAATTAGGGTTCAATCAGTGAAGAATTTGCTCAATGCTTAATTACCCATAAACAGCCCTCCAAGTTCTGCTCGTGTAGTGCTTGCATAAAGACATTATTTTCCCCACTCTATGGCTGTCTAAAAGTTGACTTTTAAAAAATGATCTGTAAATTGTAATGTAGCAGAAAGCAACGTTTTACTGGATTCTTTCTCCAGTCTGCTTCTTTAAGTTCCTCTTACATTAACAGTATGATGCTTAGGAGAGCCAAAGTAAGAAATCATCAGATTTAAATTACTTAGAGCATGGAACTAAATTAGAAAGCTTTACTTTCCTGAATGAGCTAATTGTTTAAATTTTCCAAAGGAAATGTTTCTATTTCTGCGAGAGAAGGGGTAAATGGGACTTCCTCTGACATAATTTTCATTTTAAATCTTGAGTTTGACAGCAGCATTTTTACCTTTATAACCAAATATTACTGCTTAACTGCATGACATGTATAAGCTTGCTAGTTGAAGTGACTCACTTACGCAGATGAAGTTATTTTTAGGGAGATAATTTGCACTGTTTAGAAGAGAGGAAAAAAGGGAGAGAGAGTCCTACTAAGAGCTAGATCTCTCATTATAGTTTACAGAGCTCATGAACCCAGCATCCAAGCAAAAGATGACTAAGCAAGGGGTCTATTGGTACTTTCAGGAATTTACAGACATGAGTCATCTGCTTATTTTCTGCAGACATATCACCAGGGTACTTTGTGAGTCAGCTGTTATTTGGGAATAGTACTTGTATTCAACATGAATACGTTTTTGTAGTTCTTGGGTAACTAGCATGCCAAACCAACACAGGCTTTTATAGTTTGCCTAGTTCAGGTGTTAATTTACAAAACTGATGTGTTGTTCTTAACTGTGATGCATTTTTCATGGCAAAGTGTGAATGTTGTCTTGCATGTAATTACAGTAACACCTTTGTCATCTTAGATACTACGTGAAAGCAGATCTGATTTTGTATTAATGTACAGATTGAGAATCAGACTGCCTACACATGACCAGGTAAAAAGAAAAATTTTCTTTATTAAGCCATGTGGGATTATGAGCAGAATTTGACCTTTCATGTCCAACACACCTTGCCAGCATTAATTACCAGGGGCATTTGCTTATTTTTTTCATTCTGTGCACCAACAGTGTCAATGCACGGGCACCCACTGGGACAGAAGCAAGTTCTTGCCTTCCTTTCCTATTGCTGAAATAATAGCTGACTACCTTGAGATATGTATAACACTTTAAACTCAAGGCTATTTCCTGTTTACTGGCCTTTTAGGTGTGGTTGTGTTCCAGAATTAGGGACAGGTTTTTTTACTTGGTCTGGACTCATCCACACCTTGTATTAAGGAAACACTTGGGTTAGAAAACTGGAAGTTTGACGATTTCAGGTGAAGGGTATTATTTATAAATCAAACGCAGTTTAAATTTTTCAAAACTCTTCTTGCAGTTCAGGGTAATACTGCTGCTGTCCAGATGTGGGATGCAGAATTTTTAATCTAGTTCGATTATCTGATTTATGTGATCAGTTTATAATATAAGTAATTCCTGAAAATTCCTATACAGATTTTGGTTAATAGAATATATTTTGGTGGTACTTTCTCATAACAAATGCAGGTGTCACTCTAGTGAGAGTACTGCCTTGATTATCCATTTTAAACAGCATTTCTAGTGCTAGGTACTTTGCCCTGCGAGCCTACCTTTAGTTGTAGGTAAGAGAGAAAAATACTATTGCTGCTGGCGTGTGTTATGTAGATGGCAGTTTTGAAGGGAAAAATTAATGGAAGTTAGAAAATCTCAACTAAAAAGTCAGTACAAGGACTAAATTATTTGAATTCTTTGCTAAAGTTTGTTATTCCTCTCACAAAAAATAAATGATAAAATAAAAAGTATGCAGACTTGGTTTCTCTTAAGGAGTTGATACTTAAGAATGAAAAGGATACACTAGAGAAACAGTTTAAGCACTCAGAGCTGAAGTATTATATTTATAAGATTAAAATAGAGAATCAGTCTTCTTGATTCTTTACCCTTTTCCATGGTGTAGTCCTTCAGAGACTGAGGCACACACATCACTTGGGAGGGGAGGAGACAGCGTGCTTGCTGATAAACGTCCAGGTTACACCAATGTTTTTCAGGGTTGTAATTTAGCAATCACATTATAAAGAGGAATTCGGCAGAGCAATCTTTGAATCTAACCTTTGTTAAAGCAGTGATCTGCCCTCAAATTAGCAGAACTCTGCCCATGTCATTACTGCTGAAATATGTGCTGGAAGCTGCTGTGTGGGCTGAGTCACCCGGACTCGGGAGTTGTCACGTGTGGCTCAGACACTGGGTCATGAACTGAGCCAAAGCTGTCCTCCACGGGAGGATTTGTTGGATTTTGGGACTGTGGCTGGAATAGCACATTTGATTTCGTGTGCTCCATGGCTATAAATGTTTTTATTCCTAGAGCTTGGAGGGTCCTTTAGAGAAAAGGGAGATACGGTGTAGCTGATGCACATCTGAGTATTTAGATGTGATTAGATAAACTGAAAAATGAAGGAGCTACCAGGATGATAGCATGGAATTTGGGAAATAAAACCTGTCTTACACTGATTCTTCACTTTGTTAGCAGAGATTTCACAGGAAGTGCTGGAATCTCTGGAAGTATTTAAAATTCAATTCCATTGCAGTGTTCTTTCACTGTACAGAATATAAAAAATGTGATTTGGAGGATATCAAAAATTATGATTTTAGGTGCTTTATAAATTAAGCCTACGCCTTTAAAAGAAATTAACATTCTTCTGTTAATTTGGGTGTTAGATTAGACATCTAATATTAGTAATTCAAGTCTGTTGTCATAACTCAGTTTAGCTACAGATTCCTGAAACCTCCTGAAATGAAAAGTAGACCAAGAAAATAAAAACTATAATTCTAACAATGAAAAAGTTAAGTTAAAAAATAATTCGGACCATGAAAACATACACAGCTTCTAACTGTTGTGTACTATTGTATTGTTCACCAGACCTAGCTGATCATGAGACAGTGATAAGCAAAGGGAACTAAGAAGTTCTGATTTTTATTTTTAGTGGGATATTTTGGGTATTGATGACTTCGTGGTATGTTTTTAGTTTTGTGGGAGTTTTCTTGTCTAGCAAATGACAGCGAGTTGAAATCTTTTCCAGCTCATATGACTGAATCTTTGTACATTCTGTATCAAATAATTTGGCTGCTTTAGGACACAGAGAGCTGTAAAATGAGGATGATAATGATTTGATGTCCATGAGGACATGAAAACATATTGGTTAAATCAGATAAAGATAAACTTGGTTTTTTAAAGGAAAACAAAACACAATGTATTTTGTGAAATTTTGAAAGGGAAGATTTCACTATAAAAGTTTTTTTTTTAATAACTAAATAATCCTGGTGGAGATTTTATTATTAACATAGCAATACACTAGCTAAGTTTTTTAAAAATCATGTACTTTACAAAAGTGTTTTGGTAAAGCAAAGTGTCCCATACAACAGTAGGTTGGAATCATTGCTTATGAGAAATGCAGAAGGGTTTTTTAGAACTAACCATCAGTTTCTCCTTTTCTGACACCTTTAAACCAATAGAATGGTCTGATATATTCCCAATAAGAAAAAAAAAGAAAAAATACACTAGGGTATTTTTATAACATTTTTTTCCTTTTGAATTGCAGTTGACCTACCCCTCTACTTTCCTCGAGACCAACCGACCCTAACATTTCAGTCTGTCTACCACTTCACTAACAGTGGCCAGCTGTACTCCCAGGCCCAGAAGAATTACCCCTACAGCCCCCGATGGGATGGCAATGAAATGGCCAAGAGAGCAAAGTAAGTCAGATTGTTGTTTCCTACTAATCATTCCATTTGTTTCATGGTCTTTGGTGGGTAAAAATTTCATGGATGTAACCGTACATTTTCAGTGTTACAAAAGCAGAACCTATTCTTGTTCTCATCCAGCCCTGGCATTGCTGTAGATGAATGAAGACAGATACTTACTACTCATGCTTATTGCATTAGTGCCAGAGGACTGAACAAAAGAAAGCTCTTCCTACTAGGCTTTGTTTGGCACAGAGTGGTGACAGTCTCTGCTCTGGAGAACTTCCAGCCTCAGGAGATGAGATAGCCCCCAGCAGGAGTAACCTGCATGGTAGCAGTCAGTCTAGGTAACTCCCTGGGGTTGTGAGAGTGTTGAGGGGACCCTGAAGGGAAGCATGTGAGATAGAGAGAGCAAGGAAGAAAAACCTGAAAGATCTGGAATTAGGCTGTAATGAAAAGGCAAGGAAGAACAGGAGGTAGAGCAAACCACCATTCCAGCATAGGAGGCAGTCCTATCAGATCTTGAGAAAATTATCTGAATATCTCTTGCTTTATTGCCTTTTTGGATGGAAACAGAGAATCCCTGTCTCCTTCCTCTGCATTTTTTCTGCAAGGCCTTGTTTTGGGCTGAGGAGAGATCACTTCAATCTGTGTATTCCTTTAGTTAATGATGACAGGGCAGCCTCACAGAGAAGTTCTGTTGCAAGGGCAAGCTGCCATAGGCAGTGGTGTCCCCAAAGCTAGATATTGTCCCTATCTTCTCATGGAGCAGAGCAGATTTTACCTGAATGAGGAGAGTCAGGGTTGCTGCAGTGCTTTAAATTTGCAAAGTGTAAAAATGTTAGAACAGCAAGAGATTTAAGCAGGCTGATTATCATCAGTTGTTCAGCATGAAAAAGCATCAAACTGCATAAATCACAATGCGTATTGGGATGAACATTTTGAATGACAGTCAGAAGATTAAATTAAATCAGCAAATATGCATAAAGAAGAGTTCAAACAAAAATAGTTCAAGCTGAGTAAATCAAATGAGTGGCATGGTCAGAGACTATAATTTGGAAATAATGGAAGCAAACAACAATTGACTGATGCATTTGTAGATTTATATACTAATTTAAATTCTATGGAAAACATCAAGTAACATTTGATTTGGGATTTTAATATGCATTGTAATAAAAATATTTTTGGTAGTATTTGGTTTTGCCACCATACTGTTTATAGGAGCACTATTTCTTAATCAACTATGATTTTTTGTATGTATGGACTTTCTTCTATTCTCTAGCAGGATATTATGAGTATTTTGTTTACCAAAAAAAAAAAAGAAAGAAACTCAAAAGAAAACAAGAAGAACAATAACTGGAAGCATTACTGTGGGTTTTTTTATGACCATACTACAAAATGCATTTCTTTTGTAGCTGAAAGCTTACAAGTACCTATGTGCTGTCTGCTAAGTGCATTCACTTGTGAGTGCGTGTATACAAATGGACTTCACTGCCCTACACTTGAAATTTAGAAGTATTACAACAGTTCTCTTTAAAAGCACTAAATGTGTACACTTACTATCACATGTACGTTTGGAGAGGTTATTCACTCTTGCGTTTGAGCCTCTGCATTGAAGTTCCACCCCGGGTGCGTAATATGAGCAGGATGATGAGAAGCGGGGGAAGGCAGTGCTGAGATGTCTGAAATAGCAATCACTGAGCTGCAGGGAGACAGAAGCTGCTCCAGTTAAAAGCGCTTCGCTTGCAGGAACAGCTAGTGATTCCTGAGTAGGTACCATAAATAAATCTGGATCAAGAAAAATATGATGTTATGATACATGTGAGCATATTTTAAGAAAGATTTTTAACACAATTGAGCATCTTATGTAAACAGTTTTTAAGATATTTGCTAGGGCTTCTTAGAATAAGTTAGTGTGTTTTAACATAACCAAATAACTTCTTAGTCTACTTAATTTTTACCACAGACATGTTATGGACCAAGAATATGGGAATACATGTTGATATGTGGGAGAGCATTCTAATGAGATGTATTAATTCAAACAACACATAAAAACTTCCCAAATAAAAACAGAAAAAAAATACATTATTTACCCTCTAGAAACAATGTCATTCTACTCTGCTGAAGTAAATTTAGCCCTGGTTAAATCTGAGACAACTTCTTTGTGTTTCTAAATACTGTCAATTAGGTTTTGCTTATATATAGTCTTTTTCCCTCATAGCAAAATTGTCTCCCAAGTGCTCAGCATTCTTTGAGACAAAACATCTCTGTTTATCTTCCTAGCCATTGCTCTAGGGCCAGGATCTCCCACTTGATATTCCAGTATCTGACCAAGTTCTCCACCCTTCTCAGACTTCAGGGATCAGTGTACTCTATCTTCCTCAGTGGGGCTAAAGACACCATTAAGGACAGCTTTTGCTTGCTCTTGCACCAGCTATAGAAGCATCATCAAGTTTGAAATGGCATCAATCACAGCTTTCCTCATCCTCAATTTTGGCAAGCCCTGCCTCTGTTTTCAGCAACTCAACACAGCCTGTTTATTCATGGGCAGAGCTGTCATAAGTTCATTCCAAAGGGACTTTGATTCTGTGCCCAGCCTTCTCCCAAGGTTGTTTTGGTGTGGGTTGTTGATTTTTTTTTCCCAAACAGATGAGCCCATCCAGTTTCTTCAGTGTAGGGACTAAACTTGAAAGTCTTGGTATCCTTGCTTATCTCTGTGGCCCCCAGCAGAAGTAGGCATCTCTTTTGAAGTTAGGACTTAACCCTTTGCTGTAGCCTTGAGACAATCAGTAGTAAATATAGGCAGAAGCAAAATTAGTTCCCTAAAATACATACATATAAAAGTAGATTGTATGCATTCACACCTAGAGACATATCACCTATATCTAAAAGGCAAATCTCATATCAGAGTATCATTTTAGCTGGATCTTTTTTATTCAGAGAAAAAAACTGCCCATCTTCTTACTGAAGTTGTTGGACCAATTTATATCTGTCTCATAAAGTCCATGAAGTCAAGCCTCTTTTCTGTGTCTTCTTAGACAGATTTTAAAATCACTGGGCTCCACTGTAGCCCACTGATTTAGATTCCTCACTAAGAGATAGCATCTGGTAACTGAAGCTTGCTATTGTCTTAGCCCAGGGGTTGCCCTCTGGCCTTATTTAATTCTGAAGGATGAATCAAGTCCTGATTTAATAATGTGATTTCAATTGCCTCCAGATTGCTTGTTTCTCAGCTAACACAAAATTTTAACCTGTTCCCCAGCTAGAAACAGGGAAACCAATAACATTAAAACTTTCTTACAAGCTGCTGAGATACCATTTCCTTTCAGTTGGTATCTCAGGCTTTGCCTCTTGTAGGTCATTTATTTATGTGTCTGTGGCCTCCTGCGTAAGCAGCTTCTCCAAAAGTTTTGGTCCTAAAATACAATGGCAAGCCTAAGAAAATACAGTAAATTATGGAAAGTTAGCAGCCTTGTTTGTGGTGTACGTGTGAAGTAAAACATCTCTGTGCAGTTTCCATGGGAAAGCTTTCTTGTCTTTTTGCTTAAATAGGCATTCAAGTGTACATAAATGGAGTCTTTAAAAAACGTGCTGACTTGAAGCCTGGGATTTTATGAAGGAATACTGTAAATAAAGCTTGTTTGTTTATACAAATGAAATTCAGTTCTCAGATGCACTCTGGCCCAATTTCTGTCTGACCCAGTGCTGCTCTGTAGACTTAGATTATCCTTCAGGGGAGAGCAAGTTAAAACTCAGTTTATTCTTTTATCCTACATAAATCCACCTACTCATCATTAAAAATAGCAGGAACATGGAAAACTGGTATCACAATAAGAAGTTGTTCCAAGGGTTCATATTCCCTTTTTTTTCCAAGTTGGCTGACAAAACAGGTTTCTGAATGGCAATGTTATCCCTGACCATTCATCGGTGTTTGCTGAATGTGGTGTTAAATTTTATATATCCCTTAGGGCATTCAGAGGGTGAAAGCTTCAAAGGGCTCAAGTGCTCTCTACTTTATATTGGCTGTTGCTCTGCCATGAGGTCAAGTGCATCTTCAGATTATATGCAGGTGCATCTTGTGCAAGCCACAGCTGCAGCTTCAGTCTGTGCTCAGCACAAGAGTGCCATGGTTAGAAGTGCCAGACTGGTGAACTGGTCCATGGCATTTTCAGCCTCAGTCATACCTTTTACTTGAGTATCAGCAAATTAGATGATGTCTGTCATGTGTATGAGTGAGGCCCCCCACTACAAGAAAGCCCTTGAGGTGCTGGAGCACGTGCAGAGAAGGGCAGTGGAGCTGGTGAAGGGTATGGAGCACTAATCCTGTGTGCAATGGCTAAGGGAGCTGGGGTGCCCAGTCTGGAGGAGAGGAGATTCAGGGGTGACCTTGGGGATTGGCCTCTTCTCCCAGATAACAAGTGATAGGACAAGAGGAAATGGCTGCAAGCTGTGCCTGGAGAGCTCTAGCTTGGACATTAAGAATAATTTCTTCCCCAAAAGCGTTGTAAAGCCAGGCTGCCCAGGAGGTGATGAAGTCACCACTCCTACAGGTACTTCAAAGGTCTGTGGATGTGGCACTTAGGACATGGTTTAGGGGTGGGCTTGGCAGTGATGGGTTAATAGTTGGACTCAAACTTAGAGGTGTTTTCCAGCCTTAACAGTTCTGTGATTCTATGATTACATTTACAGATTACAATATTGCATGTCTTAGTCTAATAAAAGGATATTTGAAAATAAAAAGGGACAGTTATGTTGCTGTTTAGACATATCAGTTGTAGTATGTCAAAGACTTGCTGTTCTATTCAGTTAATTTTGTGTGCCCTAATGATTTTTTTTTTATTAATTTGAAATTAACCAGTTTTGACTCATCCATTTTTTAATTATTATTCAGATTTCTTTCACATTTTAGGCAGAATATCTATTACTATATTTCAAATTTTTTAAAAATAACAACTTGCACAATTTTCATGAAACTTTTGAGATCCAGCTATGCTGCCATGAATCTCACTATA